GTTAAAAAAAAAAGGTGGTATATCAAAATATGGCGAAAACTTTGGCTGTCAATTGCTAAACTCTAATTAAAAATATCGACTAAAAAGGCATTGTGCTGTGAATATTAGCTGCTGCGATGCTTCACCCTCCGGTGCCGATGGTAAATGTGACACCCGGGCGGGTTAGCTTCCTCGGGACACACTCAGAAGTCACCCTTGGGTTTCTCCAGCACATCAGCATCATCCTTTAGCAGAACTGTCAGAGACTTAAAGACGCAGGAAAAGCCTTGGTAAAATACACGGGAGGCTGCCCCGGGGAGAGCCACCCTTCCAACGCGGTTGCATACGCGTTCTTCTCCAGAGGAAAGTCTGTTCTCTTGCCTTAGTGCTTCGAAAAAAATTCGACTGTTTATACGATTCCTTACAGAAGAGAGGCAGATCCTTTGTGTAAAAGGTGTTTTAGAGCAGAAGTAAAACGCAAATGGGTCTATAAGATCCAGACATATATAAACATACATACCTCGATATATTTATATATGTAATCTCTAGCTATTCAAAGTTTGGGGTGCATTATTGCAATATCCTTACAGGTGACCTATTCTTTTCCATTCTCCTTTGCTTTTGGTTTTTCTTGGGTGGGTTTTTTTTTTGGTTTTAGGGGGTTTTCCTCAAAAAAAAAAAAAAAAAAGAAAAAGAAAAAAACCAAGCTGCAAACGGCTCCGAGAGCTCCCAGCCGCCTCGCTGGGACCGCTCTGCCCTGACCTCCAGCACGTGTTTTTGGAAGAACCAGGCTGATGCTCTGCCCCGGCGGCCGCTGGCCGTGCCTTCCTCCACGGTACATCCCCCCGTGCCCGGCGCTCCCCGCCTGGTTATTGCTTAATTCTCCCTCCCCATACTGGCCTTTAGGGTATTTACATTTCTTTGGCTTGACTTGAACGCTTGACTTGAAGCCTGGCACTTTCTCTCCGGCTTCGGTTGCCACCAAGCCACCGCCGGAGCCACCAGCAGCGCCGAGGATGGGGGCAAGGAGGAGAAGAGGCCACCGAGGCAGTGAGAAAACGCGCGTTGGCTTCTGCTCGCTCAAACGAGTTGCGCTTCTCCCAGTCGGAATAAGCCAACTATCCTGCTCCCCGCGGCGCTCAGACGACGAACTCGGGGACTTCGTCGTGGGTGAGATCCAAGGAGAAGTATTTGCTGGTTCTTTTGACGGGGAAGGTCTCCTGGATGTTGACGCACTGCTGGGCCAAGCAGCCATTGCAGTAGAGCCCTTCCTCCTCCAGCCCGTGGGCGCAGCCGAAGGTGTAGCTCTGGGCCGTGTCCTGGCAGAGGTTGGCCAACTGCAAGAAGTCCTTCTGGTAGAGCCGAATGTCATCCAGGCTCAGGCTGTGCCGGTCCGTTGACGTCTTCGGTTTCCTGCACGTTGTCTGGGGAAAGCAGAGAGGGGGCTCAGCACCCGCCGGGGAGCCGAGGGGGTCGGGGAAACCCAAAACGCCGGCGTTTGGGGGTTTCCCCAAAGCCCCACCAGCGCCACGTACCTGGGGTAAGGAGTCGGTGCTCTGCCCCCGCAGCTTCACCACCGTCTCCGAGGAGCTGGAGGTGGAGGAGCTGATCTCTTTCACGATAAGCCCTGTGCAGGGGGGAGAGGAAGAGGAGGGTGTGAAGGTTATTTCCAGGCTTCTCAGCTCTCTTGGGATCCGTGCCTGCTGCCCTTGGGGGCTTGCCCTTGCTTTGAGGCAAAGGCACCCTCAGCTCCATGGGGCCTCAACGGCTCGGCTTGCAACCAGCTTTAGAATCACAGAATCATTAAGGTTGGAAGAGACCTCTAAGATCATCAAGTCCAGCTGTCAAACCATCATCAACAGGCCTGCTAAACCATGTCCCCAAGTGCCACATCTACATGGGTTTTGAAACCCTCCAGGGATGGTGACTCCACCACTGCCCTGGGCAGCCTGGTCCAACGCCTGACCACTCTTTCAGTAATGAAATTTTTCCTAATATCCAATCTGAACCTCCCCTGACGCAACTTGAGGCCATTGCCTCTCGTCCTATCGCTGGTTACCTGGGAGCAGAGACCAACATCCACCTCACTCCAACCTCCTTTCAAGCAGTTTTAGAGAGCAATGAGGTCTCCCCTCAGCCTCCTCCAGACTGAACAGCCCCAGCTCCCTCAGCCGCTCCTCATAAGACTTGTCTCCAGACCCCTCACCAACTTCATTGCCCTTTGTTTTACCTACAAAGCATCCTGAATTTGCACCAAAACAGCACCCAAAGCCATCCCCAGGGAGCCTGGCATGCCGGAGACCTGCCAGTAGCACCCAGCATGGAGCTGGAAATGTGGGCGACTCTCTGGGCGCAAGCACGGCTCCGGAGAAACCAGGCTGACACGTGTGATAACAGCAGCCGTGCTCATGGGAACAATCAAGGGGTTGTCACAAAAATGGGAGAGGGGGCCAGCAAATAAGAACATTGCCGAAATTATGGCCATTGCCCATGGGCAGGTCCTGTCATGGTCCCCTGGTATCTCCAAATAACCTTTCCTGGGGAACCCCTTCTTTTTATAGCTCCACCAAATCTACCCCATCTCTCCTTCGACCCACTGGGTGAACAGCTTTTCCCAGTGTCCCAAACGGATGCCTCGGGCTAATTTTGCTCTGCCAGACACCAAAGGTCTGCCTGGCACTGGGGAACTGGAGATAAAAGCAGCCACCGCCTCACCTGAGTGCCCGTTGTACTTGCGCGACAGCAGCATGTCCTCTGTGATGTAGACGCACATGTCGGGGCTCACCTCCATCTCACCAGCCTGCTCCAGCTCCCGGGGGTCATCCACCAGCATCTCGATTTCTGCAGGCAGGGAGGAGGTGGGAAGAGGCATTGAGGTCCACCTTCAGAGCACCCTCCAACCCAATCACCCGGCGAGACCCAAGCCGAAAAGCCCACCCTCAGGGCAGCGGGTGTCTCACCATCATCTTGGGAGTCCTCCTCCAGCCGGTCCTTCCCACCGCTCTCCACCCCGGAGGTGTGGGAGCTGCCGTGGCTGGGCATGGGGCTGCAGGGC